TTTTTTTTAATAATCTCTCCACCTCTCACGCTCCGCTCCATATTTAGGTATATTTTGTATGCAACGCGCCTGGGTTGGACGAGTGGATCGAACTTCCGGCGGTTACGCCGCAGCAGATAGTAATTGCACGACAGATTGTCCGATACTGTACGGGAAACTTGGAGACACCGGTACGTGATGCCTTTTAATGAAGGAGCCCCAGGTTAGAGCGATGTTATTTGCGAACACGTCCGTAACGCATCTATAACGTTAACCCATATACTGTCTTGTTATCCGCGATATCTGGTGACGTGCGTAACGATGTTAGAATTACACGAGACGACTTACGGTAACGATAGATGAATGGGACAGAGAGAGGAGTAGATAGTGAATCGTGGTAAAGTTAAAAGTTTTCGGTAAATATATAGAGATTAGTAAAAAGCGTAAGAATAAAATCGCTCCTCAGTAATCAGGCGCAATTAACAAAATACATCAAAGTTAATGGAAATCAAACAACGCGTGAACACAGATAAAGTTTTGAATACACACATTTAAAATCAGTTCAATAAATCTGTCTCCATTACTTCGGTGTTGTTATGTTATTTTCGTATTCACGGGGCAGATTCACAGCTTCCCACCGTTTCCTGGTGTTGAGAAAAATTATATTCGCGCACAAATTGCAAGAATCAGTGCGACCACTCACGTTTCGCCGATCGGTTTTTTCACGCTCGGTGGAGAAGACGAGGAAGAAGAGATCGAGGAAGAGAAAGACGAGGGTAATACATATAACAAACTTGTTGGATTATCTTTCGAAAAAAATGATGCAAACCCGAAGAATTTTTAGTTACGTTAATCCTATTTATGTAAATTTTTTAAAATCATTTTTTTATCATGTTACATAGCAACCTATACAGAAGGAGAGTTATCAGAAAACATGCATTATGAACCGTTATCGATCAAGGATCTCGTAGATCCAACTATGTCAAATTGGTGTCATCATAGCCCGTATATTCTCGAACAAGGACGAATTATTTGGTGGAATCCCGAGAAAGAGGAAGATATTGTGGACGTTAGCTAATTAATTATTTTATAGTCATACTGTAAAATTTACAATTATTTATAAGGATATATCTTCAAATTACCTGACAGGGAGTTTTAATTATTCGTAGGAAGAACTCGAGGAGGAAGAAGAAGCGGAGAAAGATGAAGTCAAGACGATCGAGAAAGAAATCGGGCCACCTCTCTTAACTCCTTTGTCCGAAGATGCCACTGTTGATTCCGTGATACCGTGGACTGCCAGACAATCGTCATATCTGCAACCAGATATTGCAATAGCTTTAGTCAGATCGAATGTATGGCCCGGAGGTTTCGCATTCGCTGTCGGAAGGTATGTTATGTATTTATCATAAAATTTTAATTTAGATAACTAAAAACTAGAGAGAAAGAGAGAAAAAGAGAGAAAGCTCTATTATTAATAAATATATTAAAATAATATCATATAATAATACGATTAACAAGCATATTATTAAATTATTAAAATTATTATATTATTAAATAATATTACTGATAATAATGATTTTCTTTGTGTTTAACAAGAAAATTGCTGCGGCAAAAATGTGATACAATTTATCGCGATAACGTAGCGCACCAAATTGAGCGTAAAGCAGTTTGAAATATATCTATTCCATATCCTTCACATGCGTAATTCACTGCGCGTTCAATAACCTCCTCATCCTGTTGCGAGCATTTGTGGTCTACGCTAACGCGGAGGAGGGAATTATGTTGATCCGTAGTCAGGTTACAAGGGAATTAATGCACGCGGGATTGCGTTAATGTAATTTTAATGATGTCATTTCGCGCAGACGCTTCGCGAATGTGTACATCGGCTGGGGCCACAAATACAACGCGTACAATTATAGCCCTCCCAATATGCCGCCTATTCAAGATCAGTACAAAATTGGGCCGGAAATCATGGAAATTCGCGATCCCACCGTCGACGAAGAAGGGATATATCGAATAGCGCCGACAGGTAGATGATAGCATCGAAAAAATAATAATATTTCTATAGAATATGCTTGTTTTTACATTACCCGAAATAATTCTCACTCCACAGAACAAGAAGAAGAGATATTAGATGAAGAGAAGGCGGAAGACGAAGAAGAGGATGAGGAGGAAGAAGATGAGGAAGACGATGAATAACTTTCTTCGCGTACATCGCGCGTCCAAATGCGATATATTTTTTCGCTTGATTCAAATATTTAAATCAGATATTCTCCCATAGAGTGCACTACAAGATTGTTGCAAATAGGCGTATCGGTAATGTAGGTTTTAGTTCAAAGCACTCCAAATAATATTATCAAACTAAGAGAATCATGAAAGATATAAACGCATAATATTGTTACAATGTAAAATTGCTTGAAAAGAGAAATACAGTTGTTTATTCTGTGGTACTCACTTTGAGAAGTTATTCTTTTTATCGAATATCTGTTTTATATTTTATCAAATATCTGTCGTGCTATTACTAAGTACTAGAGAGATGCCTGAGAGGGGTCACGCCGTCGTTTTTAATAAGACACTTTTTCTAGCTGGTACAGTAGCGTCAACTAGGTCCATTTTAGAGCCGGCGGAACTACATGGCCAGATTCATTTTTCGGTGCTATGGTAAAACAATCGGTTGGTGCATGTGCGTACTAAATCCATAATTGTGGATCAAAATTGCGGAGAAATATTATGGATTTATTAATATTTTATTATATATAGCTGTGCGTGATATTTTGCCATTCTAGTATACATATATTAAAGACAGCGATAATAAATTATTATTGAAGTATTTTTATGTATATGCGCATGTGACATAAAATAAATTTTTTTAAATAAATTTTCTTAATAATTTTTTCCCTAAATATATAAATATATTCATTCTCTTTAAATATATAACGTGTAGAAGATATTTACAATAAATTGCTTTTACTTTTTCCTTATTCTTAAAACAAAATTATCAAACATTTTAAGCAATATTAAATTATGCTTTTAATTCATACAGCTTTTTATGATTAATTATTAATTTATTGTTAATTATATTTAAGTAATTTTTTAATTTATAAATTCAGTTGGATGCACTAGTACGCACTGATACACTGATTAAAAGCTATTATATATAAATTTATATAAGCATAAGTAATTAAAACGATAAAATAATTAATACTGTACAAGTTTTTTGAAAATAAACATAATAATAAATATATTTCACTTTAAAATATACTATAAAAACTTTTATAATTTTACTTAATTAATAAGAATTTTGCAAATGAATTGACATAAAAAATGCGACATTATTTGGATAAATTTCAATTAGATATAAATTAAAGATCTCCGATGTCATCGAAAGCGAGAGCGAGAACAAGTAAAGAGCAAGCGAGATGACGTATCGTCAGTGTTCCGAAGTCTCTTACACGTGAGAGGCTTATTCTTTTATTATATACGGTATTTCACAAGTATATATGTGTCATACTATAGAAAATAAAACTTTTATATTTTGCATTTTACCTATTTGAAAATAATTTTAATGGATTAATGTTTTTTTGTGATTAAAATATATGATACCAAACACGACATTTTTATTATTAGTTTAGTTAACAATTATCCGATTTATATTGTGTTTGATGTTATTTTAATCACAAAAATCTCATTAATCCATTAAAATTATTCTCAAACCGATAAAATATATGATTCGGATCGAAAACGCGCAATAAAATAGTCGAATCGCAGGTCTGAGTAATTAACATAAGCTCTGTGATATATTAATCGTTTATTAAGTAATTGATCGATAATTTAAAATATTTATATAATTTAATATACCGCTTGTATATACGTCATAGTACGCAAAATATTTTCGGCCGCAAATTATCAATAACATAGTATTTGATCGTTTGGCGCGCTATTGTTTACGTCTTACGGCCTTGTTATTATTCGCGGCGAAACTTGAATAGTACTGTAATAGTGGGAGACGCTACGTCACAAATTCCTTTCCTATAATATTTATTATAGTTATTATCATTCACGCGACAACACTCGAACAGAAAAGTAGTGATGCTTTTGCGTCTTCGCGTCTTCGTGTCGTCGCGTCTTCGCGTTGGACCTCTATCCCATTTTCACGATTGTAATCGAGAATCATACTTCGTTGCCGACTAAATGGGATGTCTCTCAGCGTTGCAATCTTTAATATATTAATACCTATTAATATAATTAATTTTATATTAATATCAATTAATATTAATACTATATTAATATTATATATTATATAAATATTTATGTATTAATAAATTTAATATATTAATGTAGG